AGGAATTCATATAGCATCTTGTTATTTATGCCCAAAATCTGCCTACAGATGCATCTGAGGAGCTGCCATGAAGTCAATCACGTACATCCACACTCCCCTTACCCCCTAGGGAACTCTCTGCCTGCACACTATCACTTTAATCCTGCTAAAACTTAAAATATGACCCCCAGAGTGGGTGAGACATGTTCCTCTATTCACTCACACAGTGTTTTTCAAAGCAGCTGCTGCACTGATTGAAATATAATGCATAATGCAAAAATTAATTAGGAGAAATTCAATGAACCTGAAAAGTGAGTAATTCAAAAGCAATAAAAGAAAATATTTTCCATGATCAATTTACTGCTGCATTCATCAATACGGGAAATCAGCAAATTCTTGCTCCCAAGAATTTAATAAGACTGAGCAAGAGATGAGGCATTTGCATGGAATTATACACATCCACAGCAGTCAGAGGCAAACTCCACATGCCCAGCATCCTTCTGGGACAGCAGCCAAAGGCAGAGTGTAAAACCAGGGCAAGCAATGGTGCTGCCTTCCTAGAACTCTCCCTGCCCTATTACTCCTACCCTTTGGATATCAACTCACTAGCTCAGTCCAAAGAAAGTATGTTGGAAAAGGTATCAATCCTCATGCTTCAGATCTTAAAATTTCCACAGGCAAACAGGACAAATCAACCCTCATCCCAGTTCCACTGAAACAACTGGCTTTGGCAATAGGAAAGAAATTCCATCCCTGAGGCCTGGCTCTGTATCAGCTGAGCACTGACTGTGTCCTGGCAGAATGTCCAGAGTGGATAAAGAGCACTGCACGCAATGGAAGACAAATCCACAGGCACTTACCCAGAAAGGACCTTGATCTTTATGGCCCCGAGGATGCAGAGACAGTCTTCAATGACAACCTGGACCGTGCCCGACTCAAAATTTGTGCATTTAATGTTTGCAGTAATGTTCACATCCACTAAGATATCAATCAGTTCCGAAAGCAGCCCAACCAAGCTGAGAAAAAGCAAATGGGATGATTTCATCTCTCAGCCTCTAACCAGAGAAACTCAGCAAAGCCAAGAGGAAGAGACTACACCTCCATCTCCTGCAGATCATTACCAATGCCACAAGACATCCTTTGGTGCCTGTTTTGCTCCGTGACCTTATTATAGCCAAGAAACACTCCATAAAAGGTACAAAATATGTCAGGGCAGGGTTTCCCCTTAACAGGCACCATGAAGCCCAGTTACCCACTCACCAGTTGCCACTGAGCTGCAGCTTTGCCCCGATGGTCAGCTGGATCCCGATCCCTGGCAGCAGCACCACCGACAGCCTGGGCAGCCGGACCTTGACAAGGTGCAGGCTGTGAAAAACAGCAAATGCTGGCACAAATGAAAAACATCTTCCAGCAGCTGAGCAGGTGTACCCAGTGAGGAACCTGCAGCACCCAAGCACCACAGCCATCTGCAGCTGGAGGCATGAGGATAAGAGAGAGATGAAAGCCAAAAGAAGGCAACCTAGGACTAGGTTGGGGTGGAAGCTGACTTTGTAGAGCCATCATCTTTCTCCCTCTGTGGTCCTCTTTTCCCTCTCTCTGTGCTGTCAAGTGTCAGGTGTCAACAGCACCACCAGAGCTGCCATTCTGCACCTGCACCCATAGCCCACAGAGCACCTCACCATCTGCACTGCTACCACACAGAAAACTTTAATCAGGTCAGAATATCAGCATCATCACAAAGCAAGGATAATGGCCTGGGCCAACCACACCAACAGCACCTCAGCTTGTTTTGCTTCAGAACTGATGGTGAAGGTGCACTCACAGCGAAGCACTTACCCTGTGATGCTGGTGGGAGAGTTCAGCAGACTCCCTTGACCCATGATGTTGGGGAGCACAAGGCCCTGCAGGTGCTGCTGGAGAAGCCCATTATGAATTATGGCATCTGAGAGAACTGGAAAACATCTGTGTGTGAGGACCAGCACAAACAGCAGTGACTTCTCCCCACTTGGCCAGATCTGTCCTGGCAAAGGTGGTGCACAGCAAAGCCCCTCAGCTCCCCAAAACTCCTCATGGAGTCATCAGCTGTCTCAATGCAGTCAAATCACACAGTTGCCCTCACTGAATTCACCAGGAGGGGAAGCAGTGGAGAACATCCCAGACCTCCAACTTAAAGGTTATGGTACAGCTGTGCACTGCCAGGAACACCAGTGACCACACTCAAAGGTTGGACTTCCACTCACAACTCATTTCCCATTTGCCAAGGGGTTTTTGTTTGTTGACTTTTTCCGGTTTGTTTTCATTTTTGGTTTTTTTGTTTGTTGCTTTTTCGTGAAAGCAACTTGAAACAAGCCAGAGCATTGCAAATATTATCATGGCTGCTACTTCACAGCAGCTGTTTGTCAAATATCAGCTGCTGCAACATGGAAATGAGAAACTAAGACAAAAAGAGGAAAGAGCCCAGATCCAGCCCTGAAATTGTGTGGCTGCTTAGTGCTGAATTGTGTCCCAGTTCTGGAGCAGAGATTTCCCTGACCCGTGAACCCAGCGGTGGCTGTCAGAGGCTCTGAGCAAAGTCTGCAGCCCTGAGGAACTATGAAATAAAGATGAAGACACTCAGGAGGTTTTACTTCCTATCACAGTCCCACAGAGATTTCAAAACAAACACAACTCCTGTTCTTTTGTGATTACCATTCTGCATCGCCCGCGGACTGACGGCACAGGACAGCCCAGACAAGACTTCCTGCGAGGGTGGGAGGAGGCCACAGAAATAGATGATTCCAAAAAGCTTCAGTACCGTCATCTCCAGAAGATTCCCCTGCTGCCAAGGGAGACATCAGAGGGAACAGTGGGGGAAGAGTCTCTCAGAAGAAATCCCAGGGTCTTTATGAGGAAAGAGGTCAAGTGAGAAATTCCTCCTCTAGTTGTCCAGCTCAAGCAAAACTCTGCCCAAACCTGAAGGAGAAGGACCTTTTTCATGTCCACACACATGGACAGACTCAATAAAAACCCTTTCCTGGTGCTTTGTGACTGGCCCAAAACATTCACATACAAGAAGACAAAATGCTTTCCCCCAAACTGATATTTGAGTTATTTCTGTATCTCTGTGATGAGCAGTTACAGGTGTTTTGGTGAGTGGTTTACCAAGGGAAGCACCTGAGGAGATTATCCTTGTTCTTTCTAACTATCAAAAGCTATAAACTAAAGCACAACTGATAAAAATAAGCTACCTAAAAGTTACAATTTAATAATTAATAATATATATTTAACTACAAAATGGCAGACATAGGCAGGTGATCAGCAGCTTGGTGTCCAGCAGTCTCTAACTACAGCAGCCAAGCACTTCTAAGACTGAGGACCCTCCCATCACACTTGTCACCCTAGCACCACATGTGCCACCCTGCCACCATGCAACCAGTGCACAGAGCACATTACCTGAATCAGCCACAGCCAGCTGGGTAAGCCTTTTGGCTCTGCTCAGGCTCCTCTGGACTCCTCGAGACTCTGCGACGTCCCTTTTTTCCCCGCAGATGAGATGAAAGATGTTGCCCTTATATAAAACCTGCAGCCAAGCAGACACACCTTTTCCCCTCAGCCACCTCAGCCTCCAGGCAGTCATCCCTCTGCTCCTGCTCTTCGCAAGCAACACCCACCTGCCACCTTTTCTTGATTTATACGAGGCAACGTCATCACCGACTTGACCAGCTGCCATTCCCTCTGTGGCCTGGATCACTTAGATCACTCAGTTTTTGTCCCCCTAGTATGTCTTAAAAATGTCACCTCACACCACTAGCCCCAGTGGGGATCCCCATGCTTCAAGGAAACCAACTTTTTTAGGCAATCATGAGTTACTGAAGCATGTGGACCTGCTGGAAGGTCGATGGGGCAGCACATGGAACACATGAGCATGGGTTCAAGACGGTTTAGAGGAGGAAACAATCTATTTTTGCCAATCCCTGAGGAGCTGTGGGACTTACAGCTCTAATTCCTGCTTCAAATGCAGCGCTGGGAAAAGATTTCTTGACAAAAAGCAACGTGGAGAGGTTGCAGAGACCCAATAAATGTTAGATTCTTTTGAGACTGAGCTTCAAATTGATTTCAGTTGGATCTGTCTAGTGTCACAAATCAACTGTAAAAGATGAAATTGTATTGAAATGTATAAAGCAATAATAAATATAACTTTGACTAAGCAACACTTACGGTAACTGAGAGAGCTGATTTCATGCACATTTCAAAGGAAAATCTCATCCCACAGGAATGAGACTCACCCCTCAGCAGACACTTTGGCCAGGCTTTACGGAAGTTTCCATTGTGCAAGGCCCCAGGAAGATCTTATCTGAGG